AAAGAGACAGTAAAGGAGCATGTTTCAGGAAGACAGATGGTGGCGATTGACGTTGCATTTAAAGTTTTGAATATCCTAAGAGTCAGGGAAGCGTGAAATTAAAAGCGAAGTCCACAGGGGTAAAGTGCGAGAAAAAATAAACTATTAGGAGAGAACTTACTGTTACATCGAGCTGATTCAACAGTAGCGATGAGACCTAACTGCCAATCTAGTAGGACGTTCAAATTCACGCATTTTTGCTACCAAATAGGAAAGCACGTTAGAACAGTTGCCATGAAAATATTTACAGAAAAGATAGACGGAAGACACGCCACGGCGATGGGAAAGTGACTTGAAGTTGAGATGCCAGGTTAGGACCGGTAAGATTACAGACACTAAAATTAAAAAAAATTCTTGGTAAAATAACGAAGAGCTCAACTGAACAATTACCGTGAAAGTATTTATAGAAATGTTGTTGAATAGATGGTAACGGCAATAGGGAAATTAACTGTTTCTTTATAAGGAAACATTTAGCATTCACTGACTGAACAATTAGTATTACTATCAGCTGAAATTTACAAAATCTTTCTCTTAAAACTTTTTTCAGGAAAACAGGTTTCCTATGCACACTGTTATTGCTTTTTCCAGTTTCAATGGGTGTTTCCGTCTTAACCTTTTGTTTAAAGTTGTGTGGAAAGCTAACATCTGGATTATATTTTTGTTTAGTTGTGAGGTGTGGACATTTTTCCAACAAACATTTAATGACTTCTGGAACATTTCTCCCGCAAACAATATTTGGCGGACTCATGTGAGTCAAGGCAAGAATAAGACAAAGTATGGAATTTAAATACATGTATTAACAAAAAGACATTACATTAATGTGTACACAACTGAAAGTAAAGGGAAATAAATTAAAAAACTGGCTATTAAGAATGTGCTTGTTTGTGTGTGTGTGATACGAGCTTGTATGATATATATATATGTTGGTATGTGAGTGTATGTGACAATTCACTTATCACTGGACCAGGGAAACGAATGTGACCCAATGGGGACGTCTTTACCTACGTTCTACTATATCTTGGAGCAAGACGAATAAAGAAAAAGAGGAAGGAAATGTTTGTCATTTTTATAGATTTAAACAGCGCCACCTAATGGGAGTTTGACGAAGTAAAGTGGGGGTAACCCACGATAGTGTGCAAAGTTAGCATCTTCATTGTATCATTATTTTCTTTACTAATTCTACCTGTTTTTGTTGTTGTTGCTGTTGGAAGTTTTCAAATGATGTGTTTTTTTTGTTATTTGGTAGAGCTTTGTGTTTGTATTTTTTTTTTGTCTCCAATCTATAAATTCTGATGAAAGATTCCTTCACCTGAAACAATTTTAAATCATTGATCTGAGGAAAAAATATGTGAGAGTAGGTGACAATTCACCCCATGCAAGGCAGTAAAATCATTGAGACACAAGGGGGTGATGTGGAAGAATTAGAAGAGAACAAAAGAAGAGTAATCAGGAAGACAGTAGACAGCGATTGACATTTTGATTGGTGTTTGTGGAAAACGTGAGAACAAGCGACTCCTTTCATTATAATAAAACTTCCAATTCGAAGAGAGATTTGCTATTTTCTATACTTACCTATTTTTGTTTAGGTACTTTCTGGGAAGCCCGGGCCTTGAGCGCCTGTTGGGCTTCAAGCACAATCCAGACCTCAAGTGGAGCTCGTACCTATCACTAAAGATGCTGGACAAATTGTCGGTTCCTCGCACTACCCTTTACTCCTCGTACTATTCTCTACCCTTACAAGAGCCAGATCAGGCCTAAAATGGAGTATTACTTGTTGCAGGTTTTTGTGTATATCTATGTACTAGTGAGTTAGCTCAAATGACTTGACTCACTTTATAGTCTACCAATAGAAGGTTAACCAATCAGAAGACGTAGAACATTCAATCCGTCGTGTATAAAGGGGCCATTTATGTTTATTCTACCCGAATGCCCAGTGCCAGCTTGTCAGGCGAAGAGAACCAGAAGGAAGAACTATGCTCTGCTACTTTTATCGAAATATCCACTGCTAACCTGAACAACGCTTTCCTACTGTCTTCGAAATATTCACTGCTAACCTCTGGATTCTATACTCAAAGAACGACCGTCATCATGAACAACATGCTATTGCCCTGCCATATATGAGTAGCGGCTGCCCAGTCTTCCTGTTCCGGTCTCTCGATTCCCAAAGCGCCTCCGCATCCACTTGGGCAACTAATTATTTCCCACCCTACAACCACTTTCCCCACAGACGAAACGCCGCAAAAGTCTCACTGCTCTATCACTATTTCTATGGAAAGTGCTCGGACGAACTATAATCATTAGCTTCAACGGTTCTAAACTTCACGTCTAGGACCTACCATGCTATGCCATTGTAGCGAGCCAATCGTTATTCCCTCCTTATTCGATTAGTGAGATGTAAGTCCTACTCGAATAGCTTATTCCCACGAACTGCTGCTTCGTGGAACCGACTCCCAAGAGGATGCTTCCCCAATCACTACAATTTTAACCTGTGGTTATCTAGAGTTATCTTCCCTACATATCTTTTACTCTGTATCCGCGGGTGGTTCCCGGTGTTTGTACAGAGTGGACATCGCTTTAAAAAAAAATTATATCCCATTATGCTCACTATATTCAATGGACCGCTTTCATTTTCAGTAGAACACCTGATAAAATTACAACAATACAATAAACGGTATATGACAGATAGAATACTTTATTAGCTAATATCTCAGAATAGAAACCTCAAAATAGGATTTTCGTCTTTCAATGACTATATAATAAATGCGAATGTCAGTGTGTCACACTTTTTCAACTTTACTCCTATAGGCCGTACCGCAACATATCATACCATTTTGGAATCAGACCGACTCCGTGAGCAAATTAAAAACATTTCGGACCGGATTCGAATTCTTCAAATCTTTGGATTCCCAAATTTTCTTTTTGGCGATTTTTTTGCAACAAATTTTTTTTTTGTACGATAACAATTTTTATAACTTGGAAATAAATTTGGGAATAATCGAAATTAATTACGAAATTCAGCGAGTCACCCATGAAATAAAAAAAAAAATGTATGGAAAGTAAGGACCTACGTACATCAAAGTGTTTTTTAAATTAAATGGCGACAAAAGAATTATCGTTGAACTTTTAAAAGCAAAGCTTAAATATTAATGCAATACTTAAATGCAGCGATCAATTTTGAGTTCTTCTGTAGTTTATTGTTGCCAATCGCACCTGCTACTCTCTAACTACTGTGATGAAGGCCCAATCAAAATCCCTCTGCAGGAGCTGGCTTAAATGCAGCCCAGTTGGGCGGCTTTGAAGCTAGTTATCAATATTTTTTACAATGGCGTTCAGCCTGTACAAAGCCCAAGAGCCACTCGAAGTAGAAGGTTACTGTTGAGTTTTTCCACGTGCGTGTATTGAAATAAGGACAAACACATACGTAGGGGAAAATACTGGTATATCTGAAGAGGTATTTACAACAGAGAGATTAGTAGTCAAACGAATGCAGGTTAGTCAGTAACAATCAGAAAGAGTATAAAGTCCAACTGTATCTTCCGGTAGAGAGACGGAAGTGTGATGATCCCCTGATCTTCCCGGAGCTCTATAGAAGTCCTATTAGTAGTAGAGAGATCAGTCCATTCTGATGAGAAGGTGGGTGCGCCCCAACAGTTACTTATTAAGAGGCTCAGTTTATGGGAATATCATAATGTTAACCCTAGACTTGAACAGGTTAAGATTGTAGTGTTCGGAGAAGTATCCTCTTGGGAGTCGGTCCCGGTTGGTAGAAAAAAAGCTGATCGAGTGGAACTTACATCTCACCAAAGGAATACGAAGGGAATGACGGTGGTTCGCTACAATGGGCGTGGCAGGGTGGGGTCTTAGCCTTGAAGGTTAGAACGGGGGGGGACGAAAGAGTGTGGTTCATCTGAACATGGAAAACGTTCCCACTTTCACTGTACAGATGCTCAATTTATGTCGAAATATTCGGGACCCGGAAACATCTCTACTTTTGTTCGGACTGGTATATGCATTACTGTTTTTATACTTCCAACATTTCGGTTGTTGTACTCTCCGACCTTCTCCAGGTGCTTGTTGTCGTACACTGTAACCTTAGGGGAATTTTGAAGTCGTAACTAACATTTGGTTTGAGGTACGCTTAAGACGTCCGTGGATTCGAAAAATCCAGTCAGGAGATATTAAATCTTACTTATTATAAAACCCAGTTTGTTTGTGTTTGTGTGTGTGTTCATTTATATATGGGATCAGATTTCCTACATTTTTCAACCGATTTCAACAAAACTTCACTTTTTTTGTCAGGTAGTGTTTCTTATTGTCTTGCACACTTTTTTCTTTATTTTTACATTCAGAATGCTTTAAAAATTCCATTTACAAGACAATTGTTTATAATAAAATTCTATTCAATCGATAGACTCATAATGATTGAAAACAATGTTTTAGTTTTGAGTTTGGGTTTGACCAATTCGTAAAAAAAAAAAAAAACTAATTAAGACATGCGTGTCCATCAACCTTAAACAATAATCTTTCTCAATTTTATTTTTCAGTCTTTATGATGGTCGATACTTGATCTAGCTCTTACTGTTACATCCCCGGGCAACGCCGGGCTCTACTGCTAGTACGAGATAAACTTCGGTACCAGCAAAGTTTTGCATGCAAAAATATACCTAAACGTTAACTGCGGGTGTGAACGACTCCCATTTATGGGTAAACGAAGGGTAAAAACTACAAAAAGGAAACCTTGACAAATGCTAAACTGGGTCTGTTTGCAAAGTAGCAGATGTGTCAACGTGATTTGGTTATAATCCATACCACTCGCACATATCAGCTTACAGCACCTGGTATTCTCCAACCTTCGCCCATCTAGGTACTGACCAGGCTAGACATTGCTTAACTTCAGTAATCTTACGGGACTGGTGTTTCAACGTGACGTGGCCATAAGCCATACAACCCTCACATCCTAGATTACAACACCTGTTATTCTTCAAGCCGTCACCCATCTAGTTACTGACCAGGCTCGACATTGCTTAACTTCGGTGATCGTACGGGAATCGATGTTTCAAAATGATGCGGCCATAAGCCATACCACCCTCACTTCCCAGCTTACAACACATGCGGCCATAAACCATACCACCCGCACATCCCAGCTTACAACACCGCCTATTTTTCATGCCGTAACCCATATTAGTTTATGACCAGGCTCGACATTGCTTAACTTCGGTGATCGTACGGGAATCGATGATTCAAAGTGACGCGGCCATAAGCCATACCACCCTCACATCCCAGCTTACAACACCGCCTATTTTTCATGCCGTCACCCATATAGTTTCTGACCAGGCTCGACATTGCTTAACTTCGGTGATCGTACGGGAACCGGTGTTTCAAAATGATGCGACCATAATCCATACAACCGACACATCCCAGCTTGCAATACCTGCTATTCCTCAAGCCGTCACCCATCTAAGTACTGACCAGGCTCGACATTGCTTAACTTCGATAAACATACGGGAAACAGTGTTTCAAAGTGACGCGGCCGTAATCTGAAAGCGAGGCAGCCAACTAATGGCGCAGTCGATGTGATTAAGCAACAGTTTCGTTTATAGTGCAGCCAAGTGATTAGGTGCATTTGCGAACGGCATCGAACAATCAGCTTGATGAAGCACGTAACAAAACTATTAATTAGGATCCGTCTAATGAACGGGGCTCGTAGCTGAATTGTGGCGGAAATAGAAGTGACTTTGTTCAAGAAGAAATGCCATTTTCACGAACAGAATTCTATCCGAGCAAGTAGTGCCAATGCCGAACGATTTAAGCGCGCGTCTCACAAATTACACAAAGGCATTCGTTAAAGTACGACACTAAAAACCACCTCTTTGTTGTTGTCGCACGAGATAACCGCCTAGTAGACTAAAGCATTTTTGTCTTGAATAAAAAGTAAGCTTATAGTTAATATCATGCAGAGGCAGCTGAAAGAAGGCTTGGAAAATCTAACACTCACAGGACAGAACGAAATCAGTAGGAATAGTGGAAAACAACACATAACCTAATTAGTGAGCTTAAGTAAATGGATGGCCGAATAAGATTTAGGAGAAATAACAAAAAGACAAAGTTTAAGAGCTACAAAGGACAGGAAATTGTGGAGAGCCATGATCGCCTACATCCTGAAGGGATACAGCAGATAGAAGAAGAAGAAGAATGAGCTTGAGTAAATGGATGGCGGAATAAGGTTTAGGAGAAATAACAAAAAGACAAAATTTATTATTTCTCTCTTCTATTCATATATATATATATATATATATATATATATATATATATATATATTCAATTTTCTATTCAATATATATATATATATATATATATATATATATATATATGTATATATTGAATAGAAGAGAGAAACCGCAAACGTATTTGGTTGTAATGTAGATTAAAAAAAAAATATTATACTTTATTTTCCATAATTTTGCTACACGCATTTCCGGTCTCGCAACCTTCATCAGGTAAAGAGTGGATATTTCCACATATTATTAAAAGGAACTAATTTTTCTTATGTTTTTCGGTGTTAAATATTCTCCATATTAGACATTCTCTTTTTTTGCGTTAGTGACCCAAATGTCTTCCCTGAACTGGCAGTGAAAAAGTTCTGCGTGAAGGGTAATAAAACAATTAAGATTGTTCCGAGAAACGATGAGAAAGATATCTATATTCTTATCTTTTAATGACTCCTGCTTGTTCCTAGATCTATTTCCATTTTTTTGTGTTTTTGTCAGCATGCGTATGTATACGTATATTCCCTCTCCATACATACATACATACTGTCTTATTATAAGGAATTAATATAGACATGTACACATATACATATACGCACACACACATACGCACACACAAACACATACGCACATACACTTCCTCTGTTCTGTAGGGTTCGCGTGTGTGTCCGTTAGCAGTCTTGTTTTTGTCAATATGTGCATATATATATATATGCTGTTATGAAGAAAAATATACGGAAAAAACAAACAAAAATCCTTATATGCAATTATGCTGTATTAATGTTAATATAATGTCAACATCGGACGTTTCGGTCTAATAAACCATCTTCAGGACATATTCATAAAACATAATTAACATTAGACCATTCAACATGAAAAAGACGATGGACATAAAAGCATAAAAATTGTTTTTATGTCCATCGTCTTTCCGTATATTTTTCTTCATACTGCCGGATCTATATCCATATATTTGCTTACATATGCTTTTATGTAGCATATACATACATACTGGAATTAGTATACACACATATACACACATACATACATATATACATACATACATACATACACATACACACACTTCCTATGTTGTACAGGTTTTGCGCGTGTGGCTGTGTGTTGTCTATTTTTTTTGATAATATGCATATATATATATATATATATATATTCGTGTTCTACAGATACCTGCATGTAA